ATCCTCTTGGGAGTCTGTTCCACAGAACAGTGGTTTACAGGAAGAAGCTGTTTGAATGATATGCACCTAAATTTGTTATGTATACATATTACTCTGCATGTTGATGGCATAATGGTAATAGCCATTTTCTTATAAGGAAACTTTCAGCATTCATTGACTGCAGGGTTGGTACATACTACCCTCCTGACCAGGTAAGGGGGAGGTTGATTGGGTGCCCCAGACAGTGCTTTGTAATCCTCACTATCTTATCAACGTTTGTTTGTTTGTTTTTTTACCTACATTTATATACCTTACCAATTAAACTAAGCAAAATTGATTATTATTAAAAAAAATGAAAATATTTTGCAGATTTTGATGTTGGTTCTTTTTGTTTTTCATCCATGAATTTGTTTTTGCTCATACTAAGTCTCAAACAAACACTAATATAAAATGCACTATTTTTTTTTATCTATAATGCTGAATGTGTTAAAATTACTCAACATTTTAATGAGAAAAATCTCAAGTTGATGTTACAAATTGCCACAAAACATGTTTAATTGATTTTTCATTGAAGCTGTCTCAGACATTTTCATCACAGATCATACGCATAAGCATCTTCCATAGAAATGGTGAAAGGTTGATTGTTTTTGGAGAAAATATTTCTCAATAATTAAAAAAATGAAGTCCCAGTATAATTTTATCAGAGATGACAATGGTTAACACACAATGTTGCATGTAGGGCTCCCAATTTTCTGTTTCAAATTTTCCTCGATTCCATTTCCACTTTTGGTAAATTCCGTTTTTACTTTTGGGAAATTTTATTTTTTTTCATTTTATAATATTTTTATGAGAAAATTGCAATACAATATGCTATAAGTTTTATTAAAACTGGAAACAAAAACATAATTCAAAGTTTTATATTGCTCATAAAGAAATAGCAAATATCTACAAATCTTTTTTTTAAATGTTAAAATCCAAGTCCAAAAATAAATTATATGGAAAAATAAAAAAAATGTAACATGACTAGACAATAAAACAATGGAATGTTACTGTGTATAATTATCTTTGAGGTAGAACTTTTAATCAAAGCTTCCTTCTTTAAGAACACATTCAAATTGTTTTTTGTTTTTTTAAGTAAAAGGATTTAGATTGATTTATAATTATTGATTCATAATATAAAAATCACATTTAAAGTATCAACAGCAAATAACTTGAATCTCAATAATAAGTATCTGAATAAAGTCAAACATTTATAAAACAGTAATTAAAGCATAATAACTGAATCTTTGTAACAAAATAACAAAAAACAAATTAGACATATTAATTCAAAATTTAAATAAAACAACTTATCGTGAGTTGAAATACTGCTCAAATTTAAAATTGCTAATTTCTTAATTTGGAAAATATTTAATCTTCAAATCTCTTCTCTAAATCTCCATTGTAATACACTGTGAGTTGCTTGAGTCTTCTCAGTGGTAAGACTTTCATGTTGTTTATTGAGTAAATGTTTATACTGAGAAAATGAACATTCACCATCTATGCTGGTAACAGGCATCCATATGACCTTATTGGCAATCTGTTCCAGAAGAGGAAATCTGCTCTTATTTGCATTCCAAAATGATGGGATATTAAAAGGATTTGATAAATCATCTTAGTAATTCACATAAATTTGGAATTCTTCAAGAAGATCAGTAGAAAGACATTGCAAGTCCTTGATGGATGCAAAACTGTCTAAATCATAGTCTATACAGGGTAGCTGTCTAGGATCAAAGAGGCAAGCTGCCTTGTAACAGGGTAGGTATCCAGGTATTTATTTCAGTTTCAAAATATGTGCTGAAAAAATCTTGGAAATTTAAGATAACTCTCTCCCTCTTTGTGTTTTTTAGTTCAGACAGAAGACTATCAGTTTCTAGGCCAAATGTTGATTTTGATGTACCAGTATGCAAATACTATTTTACATCCTCCATCATTTTATATACAACACATGCAAGCGGAGACTTAGTTTCTTTTAAGTTTGTCAAAGCTGTTATTAAATGAGTAGTTCTCATTTATATAATGCAGATTTAAGTGCAAATTATGGTAAGAGGAATGATGTAGTCAACCATCATCTACCAATTCTAGAATCCTATCTACTGCAAGGCCATGGCTCTTTTCTTGCTTATGAGTGATATTTGGCCACATTAAACCAGGAATTCCATCTGGTTGCCACTGGTACAGAGGGTAGTTTCACTTGTTCCTTAGGTAAGGAACCATCAAGCCATTTTAAGTATCGCTTTTTCCGACTACGCTTTTTAAAAAAAGGCTGACTTGATGAAAGTAGTGAGTTGGGTAACATTATCACATGCTGACCAGTGTGAAAATATTTCATCAACAAGATTTAAAAAGTGTGCTAAGCACAACACATAGCAACTGTTAAGAAATGTTTTTTTGTTCAATTTAAATTTGTTTATAATGGTGAAGCACTGAAGATGATGCAATTATCAATCCGGGAGAATTGATGTGTGACAGTAAGCTTAGACAAGCCAGTTGTTTCATAGAATGATATTTTCAGAGGAATTTTTCCCCTTTATTTCTAAATTGCATGGTAGGCACATGATAGCATTTACTTTTCTTTCATACTCATAAAACAAGTTGTTTAGAATCTTTTACTTGTAAATTGTGTGAGGCCTTAAAGGAAATGAATTTGTTAAACTTATTGGTTTCATCTTTGTCTTTCTCTCTCTCCACCAATCAAATTTTGACAGCAACTAATGCCTGTCTTCCATTTCCACTTTAGCAATGGATCTCAGTGGTCATGATCGAGCTGTGACCTTCTGAGTTTTATCGTTTGCTACATAGTTTCTTAGAAAAGTTTTAAAATATTTAAAAATAGACTAGCCAACATATTCTCAGAAAAACGACAACCCACTTTTCTTTTATGTAAACATTTTTGTTCTTAACTATCTTTCGGGTTTTATAAAGAAAATAACTACAAATATTTGCAAAAATAAATTTTAAGGAAATAACTACATTATGTTATTGTTATATTTATTAAAATGATTAACAAAATCGGAGAGACAATTATTAATTTCTCAAAGAATTCAAAAAAATCTGTAAAAAAAAAAAAATATATATATATATATATAACAATAATAATTTGTTATTTATTATTGAAAATTCCATTAAAGATCCAGATTCCATTTAAGATTAACGATTCCACAATTGCGGAAAATTTGTTCCCCTCTGCATGTGATTTGTTTTTTATTTATTCATTTGAAAATACAAAAAATGATTTTTAAATTAAAAAATATATTTCTTCTCCAGGCAAAAAAATTATTATGAAAATCCTGTTTCTCAAGCAAATGATATTTACACGCATGGTCTTCCTTAGTGAAAATCACCAATACTTTAAAATGATGAAAACGTTACCTTCAATGAAAAGTTAGAAAATTCAAGAAACGTTGTGCTTAATCATTGTTTATATATGTGGTTATGAGTGAAAAAAACAAAATAAACATTTTAATAAACATTATTTTTCTCATGGAATTCAGCATGCCATTAAGAAAGCAAAACAGTCACATGTGGTCTGCTGGCCCCACTTTGCTCATGACTGATCTATTATGACATGCTTCTAATTTGTATTTAAATACACTGTATTTATTTTCAATTTTTCCAGTTTAATTCTTCACCTATATTGCATGATTTATTATTATACATAATTAGATTAAAATAAAATTTATATTTTATATGAATACTACCTTATAAAAAAAAAAAAAAAATCGAGATATAGTAAAGTAGGGGTCCCATATCATAGATTCCAGTGGGTATCAGATTTGGAGGGACAAAACCCTTGAACTGGCTCTGATTGACTGAAACACCAGAACTACTTTACAATTTTCTTCACTCCATGTCTATCGGGCTGGAATCAAAATGTAATATCCATTTCCTCATCTCTAATAGTAATTGGTAATATTACCCATTTCTTTAGCAGAAATATTCGGCATTCATTGACCATTTCTGAAAGTTTCATTAAAATCCCACAATTATTTGATTTTTGAAAGAATTTCAAAATTATTCTTTTTCACCAGAAAAAAACCACACGTAAAAGTAAAACTAACCTTTATCTTTGGTATGCCGCTGACGTAAAGAAAATAACAAAACAAACAAGATTTTTAACCAAAATTTCGAACGTGTTACAAAAAAGTAAAAATTAAAAAAAAAATACTTTGATCTTTAACCTAAACATTTTAATGACAAAACTTTGTTTTTATTGAGTTTGGGGTCGTTTTTCATCATACTAATGTTTTACGCGACCAAGTGGAGGTACCTAATTTGTGAATAATAATAATTGTATTGCCCGGGCTCACATTCCGAGTCCGTCATTATTGTTGTGGGTACCAGGAGACACGTGTTTTCTGACCAGCACATCCGCAACCAATTACATATGTTATCCATTTCACTCAGTTAATGAGCATCGAAATCACACCATTTTTAAATTAGAGACATTTTTAATTTTCTTTAAAACGAGACAACTTAAATTTAACAAGTACCTTTTCTTCAAACAACCCAAACTCTGTTGGTGGGTGCTGACTAATTGTTTCGCTAAGATTTATTTAAGAAATAATTTTAAAAACTATGGTACAAGTATGAAGATGATCGAAATTTGATTACCGTCAAGAATAAGATGATAATGTTCAGTCTGTGTTAAAAAAAAAAGAGAAACAAAAGTAAAACTATTAAAGTCGTTCAGCATAAAAGTAATTAGCATTCTTTTATGTATAATTTAAATAAGTAAAAGCCAGATCAAAATCAGTAAGGAAAAAACTGGGTAAAACATAAATTTAGGATTAAATTTTAAAAAAAATAAATTTACTGGGGCAAAAACAGGGAAACAAACAAACAAACGTTACCATATGACGAAATACATGGACAATAAACAGTTTAAGAATGTAAATCTTCTAATGATTGAAGAAAGAAAGCGGTGATAAATATATATGCATATATTGATAATGGCCTTATATCAGAAACGAAGAAAAGTTTACCTTCTTTAACTATAGTATATCATGGGAGAACATACCACATGGTCTTACTCCGTCAGAGACAATCGGTGTGAGGTCAAAAAATTACACCCTATCTATTAGTCCGTACATAGCTAGCTTGACGTTAATGCTAGAGAGACACTACTACACAGACAAGTCACATTTTTTGTCTGTTATCAGCGTTGATATTTTTAGGAGCTTTAATTTCCTAAGATCGAATCGGAACCATGAGAGTCATTACGTTTAATTACCATTACCAAGCATTCATTATCTCCCAAAAATAAAAAAAGAAACAATATTAAATTTCTTTGAAATTGTAAAATTTAATGAACTCGAAATAAGCCGAGTCTGTTTAGGAAATATAGACAGTCATGGCTCTCCAAAACTTCCTATCCCTTGTGGCCGTCAGCAACTTTTATCCTTTTGCCCAGACTACCCAACCCGTTCAACAAGCCATATGTTTTGAAAGGGGTTCATTTTAGTCGCGTGAATTTAGAAGTGAAAAGAATTATTATTGAAACTCAAGTACTCATTCTAATTATTTTTTTACTAAATTAAAATTTATTTATTCCGTTATTAAGATTTATTGTGAATTAATACAATTATGACATTATTCCGTTATTATTTTAATATAACAATTATTTTATTTGAATTTTGTTTACTGACTTGTTCGATTATATTTCTGTTGGAATAATTTCATGTTGACCGTTAAGTGGTTCATTTTTAAACTTTAAACGCTAAAGAGTTCCTCAGTTGATGGTGCACATGGCTATTCCTGAATTGGTTTTTGTTTTTAGCGGCAAGCGAAAATCAGGAAAAGATTTTGTTGCCAGTCTGCTTCAGCAAAAGTAAGCAACTATTTGTTTGGTTAATTTACATTTTAACACTCGGGCGTCATTTACTGCTGAACTAATTTCTTTCAAAAAATAGTACGCGTTTCTGTGAAGCGATTTTTTTTTTTTGTACTTAAATTTAAGAAAGTTAGCTTTCTTTCAAATAAACTAAACATCGACAAATAAAAGAAAAAAAAAAAACACCTAACCCTAATTTGAAAGTTAACTTTATTCTTTTAAAAAAAAAAAATAACCAAAAAAACAAACACCTAACTCTAATTTGAAAGTTAACTTTCTTTTTTTTTTTTAAAAAAAAAAAAACAAAACAAAACACCTAACTCTAATTTGAAAGTTAACTACAAGGAATTACTGTGAAGGGAGTAAATAGGCCCAAATTGTACACGTCCACCGACAGGATTCAGAACTTAATTACTTATCAATAAGCCGGTAAGGGATGACAAAAAGAGCGAGAAGTTCGATGTTTTTCTGGCCGTTAACATCCAAAAAACGTAGGTTTCTTTAATTGTTGATTTGAGTTCAGCATATACATTGGCACGGAAATGGGACTATTTTGGGAAAATTTGAAAAAGAGTTAAAAAAAAACAAAAAAAAACGCATTTATAATTTAAATTAATCGTCTCTAAATTTAGTAATAAAATAAACTAACAAATAAACATTATTTTACGTCCTTGAATAAATAAATATTTATTTAGACCTTTTTGAAAAAAAAAAATACAACCTCATTTACACCCAGCCACCTCGATTATTAACAAATTTGATGGACGTCGACAAAAGAGCGACTAAAAAAAAATCAGTATCTGTTCCAGACATTTTTTTTAAGAAAAATAGTAAATTTAAGGATTAATTATTTTGTAAAAATATTACTTTTTGCAAAAAATATAATAGAAAAAAACTAGGTACCACCGTGGACTTCCTAAAAACCCGAAAGTAAATTTGCAGATAATGCCCCAGTGACCAATTTTTAAAAAAATCCATAATTCCTGGCGTAAAATAAAATAAATAAAAAGTGAGGAAACTACAGTTTACTTTAGGAGATATTGAATCTTGGGTCCCGAGTACAACCTGGCTGCCTCAGTCAGGAATTAGTGAAGGCGCTCGGTATGGTAAGGATTTGACCCCAGGAACATAAATCGAGTAACATAATGCTTCAAGTAAACTAAACAGTGGAGGCCAGGCTGTACCCTTGACCCAACTTAGATTGGCAATATCTCCTAAACGGTAGAGTTTCCTCATTTTTTGATTGCTATTTTTAAAATAATCAGGTTTTTTTACACCAGGAATAACATATTTTTTTTAAATTGGTTACTGGGGCATTATTTGCAAATATCCCCCCCCCCCGTAAACGCATTATTTGAAGTTAAATTTTATTTTTAGTTGTATTTGAAAGATAATAATAGCCTATAAGTATCTCCAAAGATTCGCTAAAAAATGAGCATGCATGATGAAAAAAATGACCCCAAAAATCAAATTTTTAGTACGAAAAGCTTTTTTTTCATTAATTTGATAAGACTCACTTTTTTTACTAAAAATATATTTTAAAATTCCCTTGCGTCATATGCCATATGTAGGTTTTAAAAATTCGCTAAAATTAGTTACCTGGCAACTCCTAGTTCAAACTTTAGAGCATCTTTATAGCTATTGTCATTAAAAGTTTAAAAAAAAAAGGCTATATGCAGATTAAAAGTGTTCATTGATAATATTCATTCATTCATTCATTATATTATTAATTTTATCACGTTTACTTTGTTTCATTAAAATTTTATAAAATCAAATTATATATATTATATATTTGTAAAATATATTTCATTAATATTTTTCTTGCAATAACTCCCGATTACATTGGTAAATACAATCAGAATTTTTATATCTTTGAGACTTTATTCCACTAAGACGTTTACAAGACGCAGATTGTACGGATCATAAAGGAAAATCTTTTGACTGAATTTTAATTTATCCTTAAAAATTTGAGTACCTTTTTCCGGGGAAATTTTGGTAAAAATCTGACAATTATCTGATTTTAATGAGACATTCAGAACTTAATCACAAAAATTATTTTTGTTGGTAAATTTTTTTTTTTTTTTTTTTTTTTTTTTTTTACCCCATTTATTTATTTTTATGAAATTTTGAGAAATTCATTTCTGTAGCGTAAATGTTTTAGTTATAAGGAGAATATATATCATCAATTTTTTTTGTCAAGCAGGATCCCCAGTTACAGGAAGTCTGCTTTGAATCATAAAATAAAAAATACAATGAAAAACAAGACATTATTTTTTAATTAGAAGAGCTTTTATTTGCATTTTAATGGACAATATTGTCATATTTTTATTTATTTTTTTATTTTTTGGTCAATAATGAATATTTACAAGAGTTGTTTTCATTTTTTTTTTTTTAATTTTACTTATAATTTATAAAGTTTTAAATCTTAAAATTCTGTATTAATTTGTAGCGGGTGATATTTGTAGTGTTGCAGCTCAGACCAAAAACCCAGGTTCATTCTCAAAGTGCAGCTTATTCCAGTTAAATGCTTGTGGCCTAAAAATATAAGTCTTTGACCAGATCACCCACAAAATAAAGCCATGACACTTTTTGTAGCAGTAAGAAAATTTTATTTTGGTTGTAACATAGTACTATAGAAAAACAAAGCAGAGAGGAATGAGGTGGTGGTGAACAGTCCCTTTCACATCGCTATGAGACTTCCTCTCGCCAATCTCTGTGGGTCCTCTATTTTCAGCTGGTTCTGACGACTGTCTTGTTAGGAATATTGTTCTTTGTGTAAAAAAGTAATTTGTCTTCATTCAGTGACCTTTTTTGTCAGGGTCGTCGTTTGCCATGGTTCATGTGAGGTCCACTTAACTGATAAATCATCAGGGCAAAGAAACGTCTGAAACAATTTTTGTAACAGCTCAGATGTTTTCATTTAACAAGATATCAGCTGACACTGATATCATTACATGTTGTTAAGTAAAAACTATTTACTAATAATAAATGAAAACAGTTACTACAGTTCAGCAACCCCTATTATTTTCAAAAGAATTTTGAATTTGTGTGTGTATATATATATATATATATATATATAACTTCTGGGTAGTTAAAAAATTATATAAAAAATGTGTACATATTGTAATCAAGTAATTTTTATAGTTATGTGCCCTTCACTTAAAAATGCAACACCATAATCTATTGTATCAACACCTCATAAAAGCACCCACCACTGTGTTAAAGAATGCTTTTCTGCGATATTTTAAGCTAAAAGTAATATTTGTTTTACTTCAGATTAATTAAACTTTAAATCAGTTAATCTTCCTCAAATAATGTTTCAGAAAAAATCTATTTTATTTATGGAAGACTTTTTAATAAAGAGAATTATGTTGTGCTGCCAGATTTGTCAATATGACCGATTTTTGCAATTTCTAAAAACACTCTATTCAGTATTACATACAGCAATATATTTTACTTATTGGAAATGTTAATGGAATTAAAACAAAAATGAAAATCTTCAAGGAAGATTTTTAAAATGCAATTTTTTAAACCTTAGGTATCTTTTTTTTCATTTTTTTTTTCTTTTTTTTTTTAGGTACTAACCTAAAGCTTAAATGTAAAAAAAAAAAAAAAAATATTTACATATGTAAATAAAGCTTTTTGACATCTTTCAAACCGTAACAATATGAGTCAGCTGAAGTCTTGTTAAATTGAAAGCCCTTGGACCTGTTGCAAAACTGGATATGGAACACTTACTTTTGACCGAAGGAAGATTAATTACTTTTTTAGATGAGGATGACAAGACAAAGAAAATTGTTATCTATAAAACTGACCATTCTGTGTAAAGGCACACACAGGGGGATGAAGCAGGCCTTGGAGAATGGACAGGGAAGACAGCTGTTAGACTATGCACGTCTCTTATGCCTCATCTCAACTTTGCTTGCTTATAGCAGTAGATTATGACTCAAGAATAAAATCTTGAGTCATATCCCAGAAATTGTGTTGTTTCTCAATCATGGTTAATGATCTGGCTGAAGAGTAATTTTTAAGCCACAAGCTTTTGACTGGAAGAAACTGCCCTCTGTCAACTGCATCTGGTGTCTGGTCTGAGCTGCAACACAACAAAACATTGTCATGGTTACTGATCACTCTTTGAGCTTTCATTGCAGATAGGTCCTTGCAAAAATATCCAAATGTTTTCTTGAAAGTTACTAGCCTAAAGCCAATCCATATTAAAAGAAAAATTAATTTCTGTACGTAAATAAAAATTTCAAACATTTTAATAACATGTTTGCTCATTGAATTGCCATTATAGATGAAAAATGTAAACAACACATTTAAAAATCCAATATTTGTCGTAAAGATGTTTTTTTTTTCAAAGTAAATTAGTAAATTTAAGGATTAACTGGCTTTTGTAAAAGTAATGTTTACTTTTTGTTTAAAACAATTATTTATTCAGGGTAGCCAGTAATGTTATAGGTCAACTTTGATCTTTAAAAATTTAAATGTAATGTCAATCGTTATCTCCTGTCTTCTGAATTCTTGTTCATTTATTGTTCTCTCTCCTTAATAGTGATTTTTTTTTTTTTTTTTTTTTTTTTTTAATTCTCTAATAATCAGTAGCCCGTTGTGTCTTAGTGGCTTTATTGCTTTGCTTGGGGTGAAATCATTTTTAAAAAAGATGTTTTGGGTGATTCAGTTTTTCTATTACAGCATATATGAAAGAGAATTATTACGTTTTGTTAGCCATAGTTTTATTTAATCGTATTTCTCAAGACCCAAGAACCACTCAAAGTAGAGAGTTACTGAATGAGGTTGTAAGAGTGTAAAAGAAATGACATATGGGGATATGTGGGATACATAACAGTTGACTCTTCAAAGATTGTAGTGTTTGGTGAAGCATCCTCTAGGGAGTCTGTTTCACAAAGTAGGAGTTCTGGGGAAGAAGCTAAGTGGAACTTTCTCCTTCTCAATGAAATATGAAAGGAATGAGGGTGATTTAGCCCTGTGTACATAGCAGGTACTGGCTATTATAGTCTGGACAAGTGGAACAAAGAAATGTAGCCTGCCTGAACATTTGTCATTGGAATAGTGACAGATTAGTGAGAGGTTAGCAAGGTTTCATCTGTGGGAAAGAGGTTGTTGGATGGAAAATGATTTATCGACCTTTAAGGCCTTGTAAAGTAAACATTTTTGAACTCTACCGAGGCTGTAGAGTGAAGACTTGGGCAGCCCCAGGCCAGATATGGCAGCAATACTCCATTTCCCTACCAAATATGCACCTTTACTGGTGGATGAAAATAAAGAATAGAACAAGTCTTCCAAGTGTATTTTGTTTATATAAAACATTAACAAAATACACTTGGCATCTTATGTATGTAGCAGCACGACTATACGTGTGTGTGTGTGTATATATATATATATATATATATATATATATATATAGAGAGAGAGAGAAATGAGTCTAGAAGCATCCTCAACAGAATGCAGAAAGCACTGGACGGCCGTTTCATCCTATCTGGGACTCATCAGAAGTGCGCATCCACTACTGAGAATCGAACACGGACCATTTCGATACAACGCAAACATCATACCAACTGTATCACGGGACTCGGTGACGAAGAAGACACAAACTAGACTCGATATAGCGTGCTACTCACTCAGTTCCGCAGCGATATTCATCCAAGTATTCAGATAACCTCGGAACAGTGCCCCAAGTGCCACGATTGCTTTTTTTTTTCTTTTTCTTTTTTCGATATACATATATATAAGTACCAAATATAAGTGCTGCTATTTCAAGGGAGATAACTAGAGTTATTCCCCTTGCACTTGCTTATAAGTAGCCAGAGAACATCACTAGAAAATACGAAAACTTAAGGAATCATCGGATATGCCCGGCTACAAAAATCTCTTAAACCGGCTAAACATAGACATGAATACAATATCGGTACCAGTAATACAGAAAGCTAGAAAAAACAACAGTTGAAAAAAAAATTGTAATATGATCTCTGGTAATGGTTACTAAGACATTAAGTAAGACACTAAGAATAAGATTCACTCATTGGTGTTCCCAAGGACGTTGAACGGTACTAATGGCACGGGAAAAATGGCACAAGTGAAAAACAGACTCTTTAATTAAACAGCTTAAAATTAAGCATCAGTAGCTGTTTTTTTTTTTTTTTCATAAATTTTAAACATATAAATTTATATTAACAAATGGACATAAAACAATTCTGATATTAAAAAATAAATAAAAGGCTTTATACATTTTTTTTTAATTAGATTTCATTCAAAACACACTTTTTTGCCAGTAATGTATATTTCAATAGATTTCTTTTTTTCTTTTTTCACCAGTGACATTATTACCTAAATTCTCCCAAGGACACATGGCCCAGTGTATAAAAGCATTGGTTGAGTTATCCAAAAGTGACTTGACCTAAATTACTGGCACATGGAATTAGAAGAATCTGTCCCCATGGACTAATTAAAGGGTTCATTTTGAAATTCCAACTAATATCACCTGAAGAAAGCTGGAGCATACAACGGCCGAAACATTGTGAATATGGCAATAAAGATGAGGAGAAAAGTATGAACAATGTAAATAGTGCAAATAGTTACACTCCCTCATCTTCTAAATATAGACAAATGATGAGAAAGATTTAAAAATCAGAATTTTCAGATATGCCTGTGACCTTTCTGAATGAGACAAGAAATAAAATGTGGGATCTTCTTTTCTGGGGAACTTTTTTTTTTTTTTGTTTTCTTTTTTTCCACATGTGTTATATTACTGAAGAGATCTGATGGTTTGGAGCTAGTTGTCTGCCACAATTAGGGTTGTAGAGTGTTTGTAGAAGGCTTTCTGTGGAAAGTGTATTTGAGAATTCCTAAATTCCTGTTTAATCCTATTCTTTACTATCATATATATATATATATATATGTTAAGAAATGGACAAGGTCCGACAATTTATTTATTAAAGACATTTTTTTATGTTTAACGTTGTTATTTATAGATACAAGTATTTAAGCAAATGCTCTGTTTATGATAAACAGTATTAAATAACATTTATCAGGCCGGTAAATGTTATTTAATACTGTTTATCATAAACAAGTATTTATATATATATATATATATATATACACATATATATATATATATATATGGTAGGCCAATGAAAGAAATTAGAGAAGACAATAATAATAATAATATTTATTGTATATTGTTAGGTCATTAGACAAAATAGAAGCCCGAAAAAAAAAATATTAAAACCCGTAATTTTTGGACATGCCTATGAACTTCCTCAGTGAAAATAAAATTCATCTTCTCAATGAAAAATAAAATAAATTCTAATCTTTGTTGAGAAAAGACATAGGTATGTATGAAAATTCTGATTTTTGACATTTCTCTCATGATGCTTCTATTTTTTCCATTGGCTGAATAATATACAATAAATATTTTTTGAATTTTTCCATCAAAAGTATACAAGGATAATCTTTCCATACCATCGTACATTTTATATATATTCTGTTTATACGTTATTTTAATAGATAGAATTTATTTAAATAAATGCTCTGTTTTTTTAAATAAACAGTACCATTTACTGGCCTGAATGTTCGAGAAATTTCATAGAAAATAATACTTATTTATTTAAAAAACAGCATTTACTTAAATGAATTGTATCTATTAAACAACATTTACCGCCCTGAATGTCCAAGAAATTTTCATAGAAAATATTTGTCCTCTGACAGGAATCGAACCTGTATCCTATACAGAACAGTCATATAGCCTGACATGCCTTTAACCAATTTGGCCACAGAGGAGCATTCAGTTAGCAAGGTTAAAGGCACGTCAGGCTATATGATGGTTCCGTATAGGATAAAGGTTCGAATCCTGTTGGAGGATAAATATTTTTTATGAAAATTTCTCAGACATTCAGGCCCATAAATGTTGTTTAATACTGTTTATTATAAACAGAGCATTTATTTAAATATTTGTATCTAAAAAAGAATGTATAAACATAAAGATGTCTTAAAAATATATATATATATATATATATATATATATATATATATATATATATATATATATAAAGAGTAAAAAAATACTAGTCCTACTTGTTGCTTAATTTTATTTCTTTTCCAATTCAGTTTCACCCAGTCCAGATGTGGGATAATGCGACTGTCAGAACCACTAAAAAAACAATATGCATTGGTAAGTTATTGATGTTTGTTTTGGGCGGATGTTTACCATAGCCACATTAGTGAGACATAGGTCAGGATTATACAATGATAGCCCAGTAAAGATGCAATGAAATATACATACTAATTCATATATTCACTCCACAGTTAAACATGGCTCAGTTAAAATACAAATTACCTAGTAAAATTTCCAAACTTGCCTTGGAACGAACTATGTTGGCATGAAAGTTTTCCTCTTATATTTTTAATATATATATATATATATATATATATATATATATATATATTTGTGTATTTAGGCAGGATATTTTCATTCAAACAGGTTTGGTTAAATAATTTAGACATACTATGTCAGTTTATTTTTGTTTTAATCCTTTCAAGTTCTCAAACCAATTTGAAATTTATATAGAATGATAAAAAACACAGTAAAATGAACAGTAAAAAAGTTTTGAATTTACATAAATACATAAACCTATGAACAGAAAATTTAACCCCCTGAAGATAGTCTCAGATGAGACTGAAACTACTTAGGAAAATTAAAATTATTTGAAAGAAAATTTTGATATTTTTCGTAATCAATTTTCTACGGCTACCTAGAAATTGATTTGTGGACTCGAAAAGATTAAAACAATAATAAACAGACATAGTATGTCTAAATTATTTAACCAATGCTTCCAGCACTAATATAATAGCATCATCTACTTGCAAAATAAGGCTAAAAATAATGGAAGCCTTATTAATAAAAAAAAACCCAACACTTAATAATATTAATTTTGAACATGGACACAACATCTTGACTGTGTTTTGAAAAATGAAAACATTTTATAAAACATACAACAAACTATTTTTATTTAACAGTTAAAATATTTAATCCTTGAAAATGGCTAAATGTATAGCTGAAAGCACTTGGATAAAAAAAACATGCAGACAGTTTTTATATAATTTATTATCCAAAAAGAAAAAAAAATTATTAGATCACATGGGAAATTGTATAAAAAACTAAATAAAAGCACCTTGTCTGTCATATTCAATGAAATATATTTTATACATACATATATATATATATATATATATATATATATATATATATATATATATATATATATATACATACATAATAAGGGCAGCAACCTTTCTTTTAAACAACTTTTTGTTGAATATGACAGACAAGGAAAATTTGATTAATTTTTTTTATTTAGTTTTTCCAACATTCTTGGATTTTTCCAGCGTTTGGTGGGAGTAATGGAGTTAGAAAATTGTCCATTGCACATTCAACCACTTCTTTAGCCATTTTTTCTTACTCCTACCAAATAAAAAATAATCTTACCAAATGTAAGAATGTTGGAAAAACTAAAGCTTAGGGAATTTTTAACATTATTTAATGTATGAGAAGTACGGGATGGGCTGAATGTTTTGTCACCTCTTATAAAAAGGTAATGAGAACAATAGAAGAACAACTAATACAGTCATACAAAGCACTTTTACTGGAGTCTGTCTATTCACCTTCATTGCCACTGTCACACATCGAGAAGGTCTTTATGGACACCACCATTTCCATGGCACAAAATGATGTGGCACCATGTCCTGTGTGATATTTTATGAAGCTGTGCTTTGTTGATTGTTGCAAAAGCTCTCCAAACAGCATCCTGGTATCATTCATTGATAATATCCCAACAGAGCATTGAAATAAAAAATTATATTATGTAGGAGGGACAAGACTTTCGGACCACCTTGTAGCTTTTTTTCATGCTCCACTGTATATTTAGGTATATTTTTATTTTATTTTATTTTTTTTATTTATTTTTTTTTAATCAATTCATCCCAAGCAATGCAATAAATCCAAATCCACTAAGTGGCTAATGGGAGTGAAAGAGAATGAGAATACTTTAGGAGGAGCCAGAAACCCAATTGCAAACAGGAAACGAGGGATAAACCTCTACTCCTGTTCTAAAGGCTGGTGAAGGAGTGTGAACTGGCATCTTGTTTTTATTTACAACTACTCTTTTTTTGTTATTCTTGTTTCCACTGAGTCTGTATCTATACCACCCAGCCCAGGTTACTCGGTGGTGCATATTTTGACTCTGTGAAAACAAAATTAGCAGTTATAGAGCAGTGTTAAAAAAAAAAAAAAAATGAAACAAGATGAGATATTCCAAGATAGAGAAAGTCAACAAGACACTTAAAGAAGGCCGGAGAGCATAGCAGCCAAAATGTTATGATAACAACAAAGATGAGGATATTAGTCTGATTGTAAATAAGAATAACTAGAAATTCAGTCTTACAGTTATGTTACATTGAAACGCTGGTGCTTATGATTACCAAAGTTGAGCCTAGTCAAGACCTAGATGAGTGACCACTTGGGAATACCAGGTGCGGTGAGCTTAGATGTGGGGGTGGTGTAATGGAAAAAGAATGGTAATTGGAAATCAGTGCGCTGGGTTCCAGTTCCATTTGTCTTTTGTATATTCACTTATGCATAAATACTTTTATGTAAATTTGTGAATCCACCACACCTCCCCCCACTTTGGGTTAAATAGTAGGACTTGTCTCAGTAAATCATAATTATCATCAAATAAATCTTTCAGTCCCCAAAAATTTTTGCCTTTAAATAACCTGCAAAAGGTTGATAAGCCATAAAAAACAAATCAATAATCTGCAAAAGGTTGATAAGCCATAAAAAACAAATCAGTAATCTGCAAAAGGTTGATAAGCCATAAAAAACAAATCAAAATCTAGGATTTCAGATAGAAATGAATTATTAGTCTGTTTGCTGCCACCTTAAAATATTTTGTCTTTAAAATTTATTTTGTAAAAATAATAACTAAAATATTTGCTGGTTTTTGTTTTTGCAGGAAAATAAACTTGCTTATGAGCAACTTCTGGATTCTTCTTCTTACAAAGAAAAATTTCGAGCTGACATGATCAAATGGGGTGAGGAAAAACGTGACAAAGAACCAGATTATTTTTGCCGTCTTGCTACTTCCTTCAGGTTGACAAGTGAGGCTAACAAGCCCATTTGGATTATCAGTGATGCCAGAAGACCCACAGACATTGAATACTTCCATAGAAATTATCCAAACCAAGTGCGGACAGTGCGAATTATCGCTGATGAGAGTGTCCGACAACAGCGAGGCTTCCATTTTGTGGCAGGTATGTCGAGAACAACTTTTTTTCTGCTTCACTCCAAGGAAGACAGTAAAGCCACTGCGACACAAGGGGTTACAGGGAGTAAAAGAGAATGAGAAGACTTTTGTGAAAAAAGGATAATAAAGAACAGGGTTCAGGAAGACAGAAGAGAGCGATTTGGCATTACATTTAAATTTTTGAAGATTGTAGTTGGCAGGGAAGCAAGAAATCAGAAGGGAATTCCACAGGCGAGAAGTGTGAAAAAAGAAACTGTTAGAATAGGTTGCAGTCACTAGATCTAACCAACAGTGGATAAAGATGTTGGTTAGATCCAGTGACTAGACCCAAAGAGTTGTGAGTTCAATACCAGGCCACTGCAGAACCAAACTTGGAGAGTTGGGTTAAAGGGAAATAACTGAAACATCCAGAAGAGGCATGGCACGTGGAAGTAGAACAATCTACCCCGGTAGACAAAATAAAGGGTTCAGTTTGAAATTCTGATCACCTGAAGAAGGCCAGAGTGTACAACAGCCGAAACGTTGTGAATATGGCAATGAAGCTGAGAATAACAGTCCGAATAATGTAAATAATCTAAGTAAGCATATTTACAAGAATAATTTGATACCTACAAGATTATGAAAATATGTGAACCAACTATAAGGAAATTACAGGAATTAAATCCTATATATCTATATATTTTTAAATCAATAAAATCTCATCAGACGGTTTGTTTGATCAACAATCATTGCAAGGCCAAGTACCATCAAAATATTTGTGAATGTAGTTGCAAACCTATAACATGTTATTTCTGGATCATTTAGAAAGTAATTATAATAACTCCTTTCAGCACACTAGCAAATTTGAAAAAAAGGTTTTTATAAACCAGTGAAATTATTTTGTCACTAATGAAAATCTCGTATTCAAAAAGTTCACACGTTTATGTAAAATTAGATTTTGAAATCCCTTACAGATATAAAAATAGATGCATGTCATTTCTCAGGACTCAAAAACAATTTGGAAAGCCAGTTTGATCTACACATGTGAACACACACACACACACACACACACAATGGAAGAGAGACAGCCAGCAGCTGGTGGCTAAGGTCTTGTCCATGCACACAATAGAAGGGATTAACCAGAAACCTACTACTAAGCCTTTGTCTATGAATTCATAAACACATTAGGCTGAATGTCACATTGCACTAAGAACACTTAATTACTTTATAAAACAAACTTCACTTCAAGGAAAATTGATTTTATTGTTATTGTATATTTCTGAAAAAAATGTATAAATGTTATTTCAACTGATATTCTGAAACACCAGTTTTTGTTTATTAGTTTTTTGCAGGTAAAAGGGTTGAACATTGCCAAAAAGTTTACCATCTTACAGAAAATACTAATTTTAATCATTTTTTTTTTTCATTTGTTTTAATATTCTGGTGTGTGTGTGTATATATATATATATATATATATATATATTTTGAACAATAAAAAATATTAAAAAATTAAAATTTTCTGACACACTGGGTTGTAGATTAATATTCTTTCGTTTTTATTATTATTATTTCATTTAGATTCCTCGACTAGTTTCGGCCAACATGGCCATCATCAGGAGAAAAAAAAATTCTGCTTGCTGGTAGCAGTGAACTACAGAAATGAATGTCTTGATGGAGAAAATGAACTTTTGTCTGTAGTTTTCATTTGTTTTTTTTTATCTTTTTAACATGAATTTTTCTAACATTCCTTGTGTTGGTCAGTCTCTTTTAAGTTGTTATTTGAGATAAGAGCTGGATGGATCCATGCTGCTCTGAATTCTCCTGGTCAGTTTTGACAGTTTTATTGTTTCCTGGAGAGATGATGTGTCTCTGTTAAGTGTGTGTGCATGTGTGTTATTTGGTTCTTAGGGAGTGAGTGAGTATGATATGTGTAAGTGTGTATATTACTGTGGGTGTGTGTTATCATTTGGCTCATGAGGGAGTGAGTGAGTATGATGTGTGTATATTACTGTGGGTGTGTGTATAAGTGTGAGGCCTCAACACCTCCATAAGCATGTCTGTCTTGTGTGGGTGAGAAATGTGGGTAGGTTTTGATTTGTAGGGTTATATATTAATACTATCTATATTGTTAAATTTATGGTTTAGCCTGGCTGGATAGTGTGTTTTTAAACATTGTATCCACTTATTTTCATGGAACTCGAAAATCTTTCTAAAGTTATCTGCTCTGAACTTTTCTATTCTCTCAATTATAGTGAATTTGGCATTTGTTTTGAAATTGTGTTTTTCTAGGTGGAAATGTTGTTCTACAGGTAATAATTTTTCATGGGGAGTCGATTGCGATAATTATTAATTCTGTAGTGAAAGGGCCATTCAAATTTTCCTACATATTGTTTCTGGCATAGTGTGCATTCTAGGAGGTAAATTATGTTATGACTTCTACAGTTAGAATTGTGATAGATTTTGAAAGTAGATTTAGTGACTGAGCTAGTGAATGAATTCGTGTATTTAATGTGGTTGCAGCATAAACTTCTTTTGTTGTTACATGATTGGGAAAATCCTGTTGTTTTTGTTGTTAGTTTATTATGGATTACCTTGTCCCCTGAAATGTGGTTACTATCTATGATTTCTTTTAGGTTCTTAGATCTATGATATACTAGAAGGCCGGGTTCCTTAAACAATTTTTTTAGGTCTGGTTTGAGATGTAGTATTTCCCAGCGACTTTTGATTATTTGGGATAGTGGAGGCAGAGTGGGGTTGAAAGTGGTTACTAGAGGAATGCGGCTAGATTTATTTTTAATCTTGTACATTAGGGTGTCATCTCTAGGTGTGGAAATTGCTTTATATATTTGTTCCCTGATTAGGTGTTGTTTATAGCCACGTGTTGTGAATTGATGCTCCAGATTTTCAATGTGTTTATTTAATTCTTCATTGTTGGAACATATCCTTCTGAGTCTAAGTGCTTGTGAATAGGGAAGGTTCTCTTTGAGGTGTTTAGGGTGGGAAGACTTAAAGTGTAGATAATTGTGGTGTCGGTGATTTTAGGGTGTAGTGTCGTTTGTAGTTTCCTGTTTTCATCTATGTAAATGTGGGTGTCTAAAAATGTTACTGATGTTGTGGATTTTTCATAGTCAAACTTAATTGAGTCGTGCACTGTGTTTAGGGTCATGAGGAATTGGATAACTTTGTCGTCACTGCCTGTATATACAAAGAATATATCATCGATATATCTTGCATAGAATACGCAGTCGCTACCAATAAGGAGATAGATATGGGTCTCCTCAAATTTTCCCATGAATATTGTAGCATATGATGGAGCTGCAATGGTGCCCATGGCACAACATCTTACCTGAAGGTAGTGTGCTCCATTGAAGTTGAAAGTATTCAATGTAAGAATATGCTCTATGAGTTTTATAATAACATCTGGGTGGGGGGGGGTCTTGTTTTCTTCTTTTAGTCAGTGCTTCCTGAAGGGCGGTTAGCCCTTCGATGTGTTTAATATTTGAATAGAGTGACCTTACATCCATAGTCACTAGAATAGAATTTTCTGGAACTTTGTATGTGATTAATTTTGTTTAGTAGATCTGTTATGTCTCTGATGTAGGATTTTACTTCCTTATATATATATATATATATATATATATATATATATATATATATATACACACATACACCAGAATATGAAATATTCTGGTATGAATTATAAATATTTACTTTTTAATAAAAATCTGTTCTCCCCATAAATTATTAAAGAAAACATTTTTATTTTTCCTGAATATTTCAAGAGAGTTTTTATTCTTTATAGGTGTTGATGATGCTGTATCAGAATGTGGTTTGGATAGTTTCCAACATTGGGACTTCATCATCACTAATAATGGAGATGCTAATCAACTGAATTCACAAATTAAGGCAATGATCCAATCCATTCCATTGACTGCTAAACTTTGACGGATCTCATCTTCATTTACAATCATAAATCCCGTAACCCATTAGGATCATTCAGACGTCACATGTTGGTTTATCCAAGGGAACCCGGCCTAACAGAGTCCATTGCAATTATGGTCATCTTCATTTGGTCAGTTTTAACCTTGATTTGATTCTGATTCGCACTGTGGATCATTGATTAATATATTTGGGATCATTTTCCAGTTTTTCATGCACATATCTCATCCATCAGTGTGGCAATGTTGATCCTTCCAATATTCAGCATAAGAATAGAACCAACATCTGTTTGAAGTCACTGAACTTTCCAGAGGAGAGTTGCCTGATTGCCCCAGCTATGGGTTAATTAGTAGAACATCTATCAGTAAACCATTACTAGTTGCATAAATTCTAACAATCTTAAAATATTTTCTTCCTTTAAATAACCTGCAAAAGGTTGATAAACCGTAAAAGACAATCATATCCTGAATACATCAACCTTGAATTCTTCCGGTCAAGAATCTTTTGTCATCTTTATTTCCTGCCACCAACCCCTCTTCCATTTATATCATCCATTTTATTCAGTAACAGCATTGTGACATTAACACTCTACCTTAAGTGACTCTTGAACTTTGTATTGGGTGAACTTTAGTATATAAAAAAAAAGAGATGTTTATATGACAACAAAAAACAATATTGAAGGAATTTACAAACTTCAGAACTGTATCTTATCTCTACTCATATCTTGTGTTAGGGTTTGCTGATAATGACTACTGTTTTAACTGATCAGGTATGAGCTGGGAACACAGATGATGCCAAAACTCACATCCTGACAGCATTAAAAAGAATTTGGCTTTGAATCTTTAAATCTGATTTGCATGCATATTTCATTTCCGTGAATACATCTCGATGCACTTCCTCAATGATGTTCTTTGACTGGGTTAATTGGATATTTGGGGTCTTCGGGTATCACACATCCACACTCAAACTGACTACCACTGATCTGGCAATGAACTGTATCCAAGAAACTGTAGATTACTTTACACTGTTAAAATTGAATAGTGGAAATAAGCAAAATATATTTATATATATATGTATACACAGACACACTACAGTTCAAAAGTTTGAAGCCACTCCCAGAATTAACAAGGGATAAACTTGACAGAAAAGTGAAACCTTTCCATCCCCAAAATAAAAAGAGAGCCTTTAGAATAATTGAAAAAAGAATGGGATCAATTATCAAATTTATACTTTGAGAAATTTTTGCAACGGATGCAAAAAATGTGTGCTTCAGTAATCAAGGCTAAAGGAGGATATTTTGACAAGAGCAAAATTTAATCATAAAATGCTTTTTTTCTTTATGCCATAATAAAATTTATAATAAAAAATCCTGTCTCATTTTTTTTTTTAACTTTGCATAATTTTCTCTTAAAAAAAAATATAAAAATCATGCATTCAAAGATTAGCTGAAAACTTTTCAGATATGTAGAACTTTTGGACAGTTTTTAAACATATATATATATATATATATATATATATATAGAGAGAGAGAGAGAACTTTTGGACAGTTTTTTAAACACTTTATGTCCAGGAAAGAAAACATTTGTACAAACACCAGAAAAATGAATAAAAAGCTTAATCGCAAAGTCTTTAAAAAAAATGTATAAATGAGGTACTGCTGTCCAAATACACACACGCACACATATATATATGTATGTATGTAGTGGTTAGTGGCTTGGATTGAGGAATCAGAGAGCAGAGTTCCAATTCCAGTTGAATCCATTACATTCCCTTAGATGCTAATAGCCTTTGGAAAGGTATGAATCCTCCTCTTCTAAGCTATGGGTAAATAGCAGGACAGTCTGGGTTTTATAGCCTTAGATGGCAACTGGTCTAGAAGGATAAATCTGAATTCAAAACCTGCAGAGGGTAGTTTGGGGACCTTGTGGCATGTAGTGCACCAGGTCTCTGTATTCGGCCCTTCACAAAGTGCGGACAGTTCTGCACAAAACCTTCACCACTATAATCAAATCTTGTGCTGGTATCAGGCTGTCGGTCAGTTCCTAGGGACTGATCTGCTTGACCCTCATACGTCAAATCGATGGGAGAGTTTATACATATATATGTATGTATTGCTCTCTGGGCCAAATCTGTTGGGTTATGTATACTTGGATGAGTATCACCACTGTAATTTATTGAGCGGCTATAATGAGTCTAGTCAGTTTATTATTTGTCACCAAGGCCTATTGGTCCAGTCACATGATGCTTGTGTTGTCTCAGAATGCTCCATGTTCAATTCTCGGTACCTGTCCAATGCTTTCTGCACTTTATTAATTTATTATTCTTCTCGATTTGATGAATTACTATGAATGATTTTTTATATATATATATATATATATATAGACTAAAGGAAAACTTAGAAGATATGTTTCGTCCTCTAAGAGACTCTATCAAGGCAAATGCAAAAATTTTATTTTGCAACATTTATATACAAGCAAAAATATTGATTTTTCACGATTTTTAAATCCAAGAACCCTCATAAATACTGATCTGGTAAGCTATGGAAGACAGAAACTGACACAATTCAATGTCTAATAAATGAAAGTGAATAAATTATGTTCTTTAAATTTTTTTTTTTAATGCTAATTAGTATTTAAGTTATTTTAGTTTGGGATTTTTCCAATATGTCCATTCCTGAAAGTATTATTTCATTCCCAAGTCAACATACATGACTATAAAAATGTTAAAGAATTAAAAGGAAATGGTTAAATTTATAACCTCATGTTCTTTAAAATATATAATATATAAATCAATTCTTTTATCATTATTTATATTGTCCTTTTACAGAAAAACTCTATCTGAAATTTTGCACACACATATATGAATAAAAAGAAGACAGTTGGAAAATTTATTTCTTAGTCATTGCTGACACATTTTGTCAATCCGACTTTATCAAGGCAAGTTTATAAGTGAAATGTTTTTAGTTACATTAAATTCAAATTGTCTTCTTTTTATCCAAATTGTCTTATAAGAATTATTCTGAGAAATTTAACAAGATGTTGATATGGAAAACTAAAATATATTCTTAGTTAAAAAAAAAAAAAAAACCCAAAAAAACTTACCAAAATCCAGAAGGAGCATTCCCTTTATATTTGAATTTAATGTAACTAAAAACATTTCACTTTTAAATATGCCTTAATGAAGTTGGATTGATGAAACGCCTCGGCAGTAAGTAAGAAATATATTTTCCAATTGTCTTTTTATCCAAACTGTCTTATCAGAATTATTCTGAGAAAATTAATCACATATATATATATATATCAGGTCATCCCATAAGTTCTCTCCGAATTTTACCTTTTTTTAAAATGAACGAAATTTAAAGAGTATTTTATAATGTCTAATGGAGCTGAACATTATTTTTATGTTTAGATGCATTTAAACTGATCAAATTTTATTTCAGAGAACAATAAAATTAAATTTTGTTTGATTAAAACCCTGCTAACATGGAAGTACCCAAGAATCATTTGAGGCACATAATACTTTATGAGTTCAAGAAAGGAAACTCAGAAGCCGAAGCGGCAAGAAACATTCACTCAGTTTATGGAGAGGAATGTGTGAATGAAAGAACTTGCAGAAGATGGTTTGCAAAATTCAGAGGTGGAGATTTCACCCTTGAAGATGAAGATCAAACCAAACGTCCAGTTGAGTTTGATGAAAAGTTTCTTGAAGCAGCCCTTGAAGAAAATCCTGCTTTATCAGTTGAGGAATTGGCAGTGGTTCTCAGTTCAAACCATACAACTGTTCATCGTCATCTTCAACAACTTGGAAAACTTCCTAAACTTGGAAAATGGGTGCCTCATGAATTGTCTGAAAACAACCTCAAATCCCGAGTTGACATCTGCTCTTCTCTCTATTCTCGCCAACTTGTTTCATCTTTTTTGGATAGACTTGTGACTGGCAACGAAAAATGGATCTTTTATCGAAATGTTAAGCATCATAGACAGTGGCTTGGTAAAGGGGAAGGACCCCAGCCACAGCCGAGTAGAGACCTTCATGGGCAAAAGGTTCTTCTTTCAATCTGGTGGGATTGCCAAGGAATAACCCACTTTGAATTCTTACCACCTAATGCAACAATTAATGCTCAAATATACTGTCAGCAATTAGAGGGTTTGAACCAAGCTTTGAGGAAAAAAAGACCTGCTCTAGTGAATCGAAAAGGGGTGATGTTTCATCAGGACAATGCGCGACCCCACACAGAAAGAATCACGTCACAAAAGATCGAAGAACTTGGTTGGGAGAAAATTCCTCATCTCAATTGACTTCAATTGACCTCAATTATTCTTCCGATCTTGCTCCTTCAGACTACCATTTGTTTTGTAGCTTACAGAATCATTTGGAAGAAACAGCTTCTGTAACACAGAAAGAGGTTAAAACTGACATTTGTGAGTTCTTTAAATCAAAGTCAAAAGAATTTTACAGTAATGGAATTAGTAAGCTTGTTAATAGATGAAAGGAAATCATAGATAATCAGGGAAAATACATTGTTGATTGAATCTGTAATTAAATGTAACATTTGGTCACTTGTTTTCTTTATTCAAAATTTGGACAGAACTTATGGGATGACCTGATATATTATTAGTTTAAATGTTATTTTTAGTGGATACTCATATTTGAATATACATTCCATTAATTTATTAAACAGTATATTTATTTGTTTTTGTCTACCAACTTGAATATTCAAGAAATTTTATTAAAGAAAAATATGTGCTCTCCATCAGGATATGAACCTGCATTGCCCTGGGTAGACGGAAACCATTGTTAGATCTGATGTGACTTAACTGACTTGGCCACAAAAAGCTTTGCTGATCAGGCAAAGTATGAACAGTACCTTTAAGTTAAATACTTCTTATAGATTTCTCAAAATTATCAAATCTGCTCAGAGTTGTATCAAATGTAAACAAAGTAATTTTCTAAAGAAGTAAAGGATTTTCTTTTATTTATGAAACTGATAGATTGTTATCACTTTA